CTTCAAAATCAAGCTGATTTTGATAAAGATATAAAGAAGTCAAAGAGGGTGTTTTTTTTAATAGCTTCAATTAATGTTTTCATTCCTTCGGAATCAATCTGACCTTGATTAAGCTTTAAAATGGTAATAACAGGATTGTTGCAAAGATTTTTAAATGCTTCATTACAAACAATACCTTTAACTTCTAAACTTCCTTTAATTTCAAATTGTTTAAGCTTTAAACATGTTCGTAAAAACATTGTAATAATGATATTGGTATTGTAGGTGAAAAGGAAATAGCAAAGATTCTTCATGCAAACACAAAACTGATTTCTTTAAATCTTAGCGGAAATTCTATTGATAGAGGAAAAGCATTAGCGGAAGCACTTTGTAAGAACACTACTCTCACTTCCTTAGACCTTTCTTCTAATAGTATTAAACTTGAAGGAGCAAATGAAATAGCAAAATCGCTTCGTACAAATACTGTTCTGACTTCATTAAATCTTAGAAGCACTGAAATTGGTGATGAAGGTGGAAGAGTAATAGCGGAAGCACTTTGTAAGAACACCACTTTGAAGTCTTTAAATCAAAGCATTGGCAAACGTATGCAATATATGCAGCAGAAATAATATTGGTATTTAAGGGGAAAGTATTAGCAAATGCATTCTATATAAATGTTATTCTAGCTTGTTTAGATCTTAGAACAAACCACTTAATAACGGTATTACTGGTAGAATAACATTAACAAAGGTTTTCACGAAACCAAATTATTATTGCTTTAATCTCAGATCTTTATAATAATTAAATTATAAAGATAAATCTTTGTAATGAAATTTTTAGTTTACAGTAAATAAATACAGTATTATTATCATATCGATATTATTGTAATTTGGGAGAATTAAGGTTATTCTGAAGATGATCAATTAACTAGATCATTAAACGACTTCGTTGCCGTTAATATGTAAATTCATGTTTTTAGACTCTAAGAATCGATTTTAAAGTCATCCGGTAGAACATTAAATGCATATTATCGTTATACTAAAGTTTATATTCAACAAATACGCTTTTGCATCTTGTTAAGCCAGTGTTTCGGCTGAAACCTTTGGCCGGCGAAACTTCCGAAACCAGGCGATAGCCAAAACTTGGAAACTAAAAGTCATCTGGAACCACCGAGGCACGAGATGTAGTCATGCATAAATTTAGATATGAATAGAAATGCGAGCCAAAATATTCCGAAAGAAATTTTGTAAAATAGGATTAGTTTATTGTAAAGGATTCGGAAGTTTTGGCAGAAGTTTCAGAATTTCGGGCCAGGGCCGCAGTCGCGATCGCGTGATCTAATTATGCTTGAACCTAGCCTTAATATAGGTCATACTATGTTGATAAAGTTAATGCTGCCCGTACTGTGCATATAAAAAGTTATGTCGGTATAATGCCCCCATTTTTATCGATTTTAGCTTATACTGTATATAAAATTTTA